AATACAAATAAAGGAGGAAGAAAACATTTATAAACATAAATAGACAACAAATAAAACAAAATCAATAAACTTGAAAGTTGACTCTTTGTAATGATTAACACAATTAAAAACAGTTACAGCAGGAGGCCTGGGTGGCTCAGTTGGTTGGACGACTGCCTTCGGCTCAGGTCATGATCCCGGAGTTCCCGGATCGAGTCCCGCATCGGGCTCCCAGCTCCATGGGGAATCTGCTTCTCCCTCTGACCTTCTCCTTGCTCATGCTCTCTCTCATTGTCTCTTTCTCAAATAAATAAATAAAATCTTAAAAAAAAAAAAAAAAACGGTTACAGGGCACCTGGGTGGCTCAGGTGGTTAAGGGTTGAACTCTTGGTTTTGGCTCAAGTCATGATCTTGGGATCATTGTGCTCAGCCCCTAGTCTGCTTCAGATTCTTTCTCTCTTTCCCCCTCTGCCCCTTCCCTCTCTCTCCTCTATCTCAAAAATAAATAAATAAATAAATAAATAAATAAATAAATAAATATATTTCAAAGACCTCTGGGTAAAACTAATCGAGAAGGGAAAAAATACCAACTACCAATATCAGGAATGAAAAAGGAACATCACTACCAGTCCCACAGACATTAAAAAGATAAAAAGAGGGGCACCTCGGTGGCTCAGTGGGTTAAGCCTCTGCCTTCGCCTCAGGTCATGATCTCAGGGTCCTGGGATCGAGCCCCGCATCGGGCTCTCTGCTCAGCGGGGAGCCTGCTTCCTCCTCTCTCTGCCTGCCTCTCTGCCTACTTGTGATCTTTCTCTGTTGAATAAATAAATAAAATCTTTAAAAAAAAAGATAAAAAGGGATATTATGAATAACTTTATGCCAATAAATTTGACAATTTATGTAAAATGGAAAGCATCTTTGAAAAAACAATATGAAAAAAGAAGAAATATAAAAACTGATTAGGCATATCTATTAAGTAAATTAAACTTGTTATTAAGGAAACCTTGACACTCCAATTCACATTAGTGAGTTCTTCCAAAATACCTATGGAAGAACTAACATGAGTTTTTGTAGACTCTTTCAGAGAATTCTGGAAATGTTCCTGAGAGCATTTGGGTGCTAGCATAAATTCAAGGGGTATGACATCCAAACCTGAATAAGACATTATAAGAGAGGAAAAGCAGAGGCCAATCTCATTTATAAATATAGATAGGAAAATTCTAAACAAAATATCGGCAAATAAAATTCTGAAATATATAAAAGGAAAATAATTATGAGAAAAATGTTATTTTAAGGATGCAAATCCAATTTAATATTTGAAAATTAATATAATTAGTCACATGAACAGATGAAGAAAAATATTATCTCAGTGAATACAGAAAAAGTCCTTTGATAAAATTCAGCACACATTCATGGTAAAGTATTTAGCAAACTAAAAATAGAAGGGAACATTCACACTGTACTTTAAAACCTAGAGGAAAAATTATCTTTAATGGTAAATTATTGGAGTTTCCCTTAGTTACCAAGAATGAGACAAGGAAGGGCACCTGGGTGGCTCAGTGGGTTAAGCCTCTGCCTTTGGCTCAGGTCATGATCTCAGGGTCCTCAGATCAAGCCCCACATCCAGCTCTCTGCTCAGCCAGGAGCCTGCTTCTCCCTCCCCCTCTGCCTGTCTCTCTGACTACTTGTGATCACTGTCTGTCAAATAAATAAAATCTTAAAAAAAGAAGAATGAGGGGCGCCTGGGTGGCTCAGTGGGTTAAAGCCTCTGCCTTCGGCTCAGGTCATGATCCCAGGGTCCTGGGATCGAGCCCCACATCGGGCTCTCTGCTCAGCAGGGAGCCTGCTTCCCCCTCTCTCTGTCTCTGCCTACTTGTGATCTCTGTCTGTGAAATAAATAAATAAAATCTTTTAAAAAAATTAAAAAAAAAGAAGAATGAGACAAGGATGCCCGCCCTTACTATTTCACTTCAGTATTATACCATAGGTCCTAACCAGTGGAATAAGGCAAGAAATAATAAAAGGTACAATGATTGAAAGGGGAGAAATAAGAATGTCTTTTTTTGAATGACATGATTGTATATATAAAAAGTCATAAAGAATCTATTGATGATTAGGATTAATAAATTAAGTTGGCAATTCCACTGGATATAAGGTACATACAAATATAAGTTGTATTTTTGATAACAAAAAATCATAAAATTTAAGATTTCGAGTATCATTTACAATAGCTTAAAAATATCAAATATCTAGAAACAAATCTAACAACGTAAGACTTATATACTGACAAGCTATAAAACACTGAGAAAAGTTAAAGATATAAAGTAGAGGGATATATAATTTTTCAATAATTGGAAGACTCATGTTGGTAATATGTCAATTCTCCTCAAGCAATCTATAGATGGCATAAAATCCTAAGCAAAATTTCTGAAGATTTCTTTGTGAAAATCGACAAGCCAAATCTAAAGTTTATATAGAAATACAAAGGGACAATAAGAACCAAAACCAACCTGAAGACAAAGAATAAAAGTGGAGGACTTCTTTCTGTGCTCACTCCCCTGGCGGTGGCAACTGGCCTGCTCTCAACATGCAGAGCGACGCCTCCAAGTTTGTGGACCTGTGCGTACAGCGGAAAGGCTCCTCCAGCAACTGCATCATGGGCGCCAAGGACCACGTGTTTATGCAGATGAAGGAGGCCAGGTTGAGAAGGTGACAGGCAGGTTCAACAGCCAGTTTAAAACCTACACTGTGGGGCTATTCGCAGGATGGGTGAGCCAGATGACCCCATCCTCTGTCCCCCATCCAAGGCCAACATCGTTTCAAAGAACTTCTGACTGGAGAGGATCACAGATGTGGGGTATTCGTAAAGTAAAAGATTTACCTTTCAGATAATAACCTTATTATAAAGATACAGTTATTAAGACAATATGGTATTGCAGGATAAACAAACAGAAAAATGGAAAGAGTCTTGAACAGACCTATGGTTACCTGATTTATAACAAAATGACACATCAGAAACAGTAGGGAATAGATCTTCTTTTCAATAGATAGTGCAAAGCCATTTGGCTATTTTTCTGAAAAAAATATGTAACCCTAATCTCATTTATATGAAAAAAATCAAATTCAGGAAGATTATTTCTCTAAATGTGAAAAATAAAGCAGTTGATTTTAAAAAATATACAAGAATATTTTCATGATCTTGGGATATATGCAAAAGTTTAAAGGGAGCACAAGTCCTAACCATAAATGAAAAATATTGATTAAAATTAGACTAACAGAAGTTTTGTTCATCAAAGATAGCACAAGAGAGCTGAAAAGCAAACCATAGAATGGGAGAAGATATTTGCAATACATACTTCCGAAAAAGTACTTACACTCAGAATATATAAGGAACTTCTAATGATTGATAAGAAAAAAGGCATGGGCGCCTGGGTGGCTCAGTGGGTTAAGCCGCTGCCTTCGGCTCAGGTCATGATCTCAGGTTCCTGGGATCGAGTCCCGCATCGGGCTCTCTGCTCAGCAGGGAGCCTGCTTCCCTCCCTCTCTCTCTGCCTGCCTCTCTGTCTACTTGTGATCTCTCTCTGTCAAATAAATAAATAAAATCTTAAAAAAAAAAAAAAAGAAAAAAAAAAGAAAAAAGGCAAATGCCATAAATAGAGACAAAAGACAAGTACTTCACAAGAATGTACCCTAATGGCCATTAAACATGTGAAAAAAAGTGCTCAATTTGATTAATCAGGGAGATGCTAATTAAAGCTACAGTATGGTATCATTACACACTCATCAGAGTGGTTAAAATTAAAAGACAGTATTAAATGTTGACAAGGACATGGAGCAACTAGAACTGTCATTTTTTGCTGGTTTCAGTAAAACCACATTTGTAAGCTTTTTGCAAAATCTATTAAAGCTAAATATATGTGCGCATATTCACACGCAGAAGTCTACCTTCTGGGAATATAGTCAACATAAATGCTCACATAGACACCAAAAGTCATGTACAAGAATGTTGGTAGCAGCACTAACCAAAATATCCCCAAACTGGAAAACCCCAATGTGCATCAGCTGGAAAGCAGGTGAATAGTAGTACAGTCAAACAATAGAAAAATATAGAGCACTGAGAAATTAGGACAATATATAACAGATGGATTTTAAAAATATAATGTTGAGAAAAAGAAGCCAAACATAAAAGAGAAATACTACATAAGTCTATTTGTATAAAAGTTCAAAAAAGGGGGAAAAATCTATGATAATAGAAGCATGCTCACCTTTAGGGGAGAGAGTAATGAACAAGCAAAAAGAGAAGGGAGCTTCTAGGGTTTTGGTAACATTTTAGTTTTAGTTTAGTTTCTACCTATAGGAGTGTGTTCACTTCCTGAAAAATGTATTGAGTTGTACACTTACCACTTGTACCCTTTCTGATATATTTCAAAATAAAAACAACTTCTGTAAAATTGTACTTTTCTAAACATCAGTTATCACTAATTTCTTGAATGTAATCAAATAAGAAACACAGCAAGAGAAAGTTTCTTAAAATGTATTTTATGAAGAACACTAATATGTCATTTAGTTTGTTCTGAAAAGTACTATTGCACTGAAAGTTAACTTAACAAATGTTTCTTTAGAATTTCCAATACCTGAGGCGGCCTGGGTGGCTCAGTGGGTTAAGCCTCTGCCTTCGGCTCCGGTCATGATCTCCTGGTCCTGGGATCCGGGCCGTATCAGGCTCTCTGCTCCGCACGGAGCCTGCTTCCCCCTCTCTCTTTCTGCCTCTCTGCCTACTTTGTGATCTCTCTTTCTGTGTGTCAAATAAATGAATAAAATCTTTAAAAAAAAAAGAATTTCCAATACCTAATAACTGGAGATACCATTCGGTGCACTTAAAAGGACTTAAAAGGGCTTTGATAGTATACCAGTTATAATTTGGAATGAAATGGCAAATACTATAGCTATAGTAAATAAGGACGCCTGGTGGCGCTGCAGGCTAGCGCTATGAATGAAAGGCTCTGTGGGCTATCCCGGACGCCATTAAGCTAGGAATCAGAACAATGAGTGCTTCCTAAGAGAAGGAAGCATTTTAGTAAGATCTAGGGGCAGATATTTTCAGAGAGGACATTATTCTAGGGCAAGTCAGTCAGAAATAAATAAATCGAGGTTATTCAACCAAATCATCTGGGTTGACTGTATACAGAGCTGAAGAAACTGCACCTTCTTGAATTGGGTCTGAACAATGGAGACTGCGCTAGCAAAAACGCCACAGAAAAGGCAAGTTATCTTTCTTGCTATATTGTTGCTTTTGTGGGAGGCTGGCTCTGATGCAATTAGGTATTCCATGCCAGAAGAAACAGAAAGTGGCTCCTTTGTGGCCAACCTGGCAAAAGACCTGGGGCTCAGGGTTGGGGAGCTAGTTACTCGAGGTGCGCGAATCCATTACAAAGGAAACAAACAGGTCTTGCAGCTGGATATAGAAACCGGGAATTTGCTGCTGTATGAAAAACTAGACCGGGAGGTGCTGTGTGGGGTGACAGATCCCTGTATACTCTATTTCCAGTTATTACTGGAAAACCCAGTGCAATTTTTTCAGGCTGAGCTGCAGCTTACGGATATAAATGACCATTCCCCAGAATTCCTAGATAAGGAAATGCTCCTAAAAATCCCAGAGAGCGTTCAACCAGGGACCATATTTCCTTTGAAAATAGCTCAGGACTTGGACATAGGTATCAACACTGTGCAGAACTACACAATCAGCCCCAACTCCCATTTTCACGTTGTCACTCGTAATCGCGGAGATGGCCGAAAATACCCAGAGCTCGTGCTGGACAAATCCCTGGATCGGGAGGAGCAGTCTGAGCTCAGTTTAACTCTCACAGCGCTGGATGGTGGGACTCCGCCCAGGTCTGGGACCACTGCAGTCCGTATTGAAGTCGTGGACATCAATGATAATGCCCCTCAGTTTTTACAGTCACTCTATGAGGTACAGGTCCCCGAAAACAGCCCCCTAAACTCCTTGGTTGTCGCTGTCTCTGCCCAAGATTTAGATGCAGGAACATATGGGAATGTAGTCTACACTCTCTTCCAAGGCGATGAAGTTACTCAACCATTTGTAATAGATGAAATTACAGGAGAAATTCGTCTGAAAAAAGCATTGGATTTCGAGGCAACTCGATACTATACTGTGGAAATTGCAGGCACAGACGGCGGGGGGCTTTCAGGAAAGTGTACTGTAGCTATAGAGGTTGTGGATGTGAATGACAATGCCCCTGAACTTACCATGTCGACGCTCTCAAGCTCTACCCCAGAAAACTCACCAGAGACCGTAGTGGCTGTTTTCAGTGTTTCTGATCCAGACTCGGGGGACAACGGTAGGGTGGTTTGCTCCATCCAGAACGATCTCCCCTTTCTCCTGAAACCTACGTTCAAGAACTTCTACACACTAGTTACGGAGAGACCACTGGACAGAGAGAGCCAGGCCGAGTACAACATCACCATCACCGTCACCGACCTGGGGACCCCCAGGCTGAA